TACAATCAAATCTGTACAAGTGACCACCTCACACATTAAGGACCAGGTGGCCAATGTTAACGTTACCACTTTTGGGGGGTAAATTTTCCTATTGACACAAGCACAAAAGGCATCCAATGCGATTTCAGGGCAACAAAGCTGGAAATATTCTGAATAGGGCAATCTTTGTGATATTGGCACACACTGCTTCACATCAGCACATTTGAGTCAGTATTTCGTACTTTGGTAATTTAAAACTGCAGAAACAAGCCCCAAGAAGAGTCCTTTATTTTATAGGTGGTACCCTAAAAATCAGCCCAGGGCCCTTCCAGTATCCATTTTCTATCAGACTTATTGGGAATTTTTGCTCCATGAGCGTCAATATACATTGAGATAGTGTGGATTCAACTCAGTATGTAGTTAAGTGAAGTGACTAGAAAAACTGCACTGGATGCCTTTAAAAATCCTGTCTATAGTGACCATTTTTACCTATATTCACATAGATCAGATTTTATCACACCCTGATGTGGTCTTCTTGGGCTGGTTTGACTGTATTTCTCTTAAGTTTGAAAACCATGTTTCTCTTATATACATGGTTAGCTACGTAGGTGTTGGTGCCTTGATGTTCTTGGCAAAGGTTTCAGCTACCAGTAGGGGAAACACAAGTGTTGCATCAGCATACACCTAGAAACACACGAAAGAGAAATAAGCAATTCATTAGTTACTAACAACACTCTTGCAAACATGACTTCTTGCTCAAGTTGCAATGATGTTATCAATGGTTTGTGTTTCATTAACATGATTATTATCTTTCATACCATGATTAGGCCAAACCAATTTAATTTGTTGGTTCTAGGATCTTTTCAGAAAAAATTTGGAGCAACAGGGCGAAAAAATAAAAGTGTAGCTATAGGCATCCTATTATAGCCTCAAATGCTAAGATAGGAGCCATGAAGTCAACACAAAAGGCTAGGTTAATATTTAAACAACGCATTTTGAACTTTCAATCAAACTGCTGCATTGATAGATAGATGGAAAAAATGCAACAAGTACAAAGAAAATGACTTTCCTCAACTGTTGGGGCAAAATATGAGGCATATTTGAGTTGATTCAGAACCAATATCCTTTTTTTGCAAATCAGAGAAAAATGAATTGGCAAATCCAAGAACCAACAAATTAAATTGGTGTGGCCTAAACCTGATGATTATGATGCTAAGCTAGAACTGCCAAAAAACATTTTTGAAATGGATCAGATAACACCTACAGTACCTTGACAGGGTTGGCAGTCATCTTGATTTTGCCCCATGACACTGCCTCATCAGGCCGTGCCCCTGCATCAGACCCATCAAACTCCTGTCCAGTGTTGACATACACAGCATACTCTGCACCGTTCCTCTGCGACACAACATGGACATTACGTCATGTATATATATTTAATACAATGATGATTATAGGGTACACATTACTGCTAACCCCCAGGGCATACTGGGTCACAACCCTGTCAATCAACTGAAACCCAGTCTCTGCCCACCCACTTCCAACCCTTGCAGATTTCAAATTTATTGCGATACCCAAAGTGGATTGTGGAGCCCATACCTTTCCTTCTGCTTCCTTTCGCCTCCCAAACTGAAGTCTGGTTCCCACTTTACACCTTTCCCTCAGGACACAATGTCTACCCATGCAGGAATTGAACCTAGGGATTGAACCTGTGACTTCTTGATCTCATATCTGCTAGTCTAAGCCATTCATGGAACTGTAGGTCAGGCATCTAACTTGTCTTTCAAAAACGTAAGATATTCTAAATGTTTTAAAGATGCCCCTGCAGTTTCAATGAAGTTGCCAGGTGGGCCAAACCTAGTACAGATAGCCAATGTGTTCTTGGCTATCTGCCATCAAAAAACCACAAGCCTGGCATCTCCAAAATATTGGATATGGCAACAGAAGCAGTACCAAAGCTACGCGGGGGTCTATATGCTGACAATTTCTACCAAAAGCATAACCTTCTGCGTGAAGGTAATTACCATCAGGTTGGCGTTGTTGATGTGGTGCTTGACCAGCCCTCCCCCCAGGATGATCATCCCTGTGTGCTGAGAGTGGACAGCTATGTTGTTGATTCTACGGATATCTGTGGACAAGGAAACGTCATTATAGAATGTTAGAATGTCAGTGTTAGGCACTGTCTAACGTATGGTGTCCATGCAGCAATGTTTTCCTTACTAAAGAAAACAAGTCTATCCCACATTGTCATGTATATGTGCTATGTGGGGGCCCGCAAGCCCTTTTCCGTAGAGCGTAATTGGCCGTTTTAATTCTACGTAGAGCGTAGACGGACCGCTCTAATATTTTTGCGTAGAGCGTATTCAGCGTTTTAATTTAAAAATCTACGTAATGCGTTGTAGCCACTGCGAATTTATCGTAAAGCGTAATCGAGAGGTTTCCGAATTCAGCATAGAGCGTTGTTGTGACCCCCCCTTGCATGCCCTCCTATGTTTAGATTGCTTCACAATGATACTGATTGACATCAACAAATAGTAGAATTATTATTACCTTACTCACAAATCAAATACTTCAGCTGTATGGGGGCCCTTATGCCCTTTTCCGTAGAGCGTAATTGGCCGTTTTAATTCTACATAGAGTGTAGGCGGGCCACTCTAATTCAATGTAGAGCATAGTTGGCGCATTTTGCGTACAGCGCAATTCGAGTTTCAATTCTACGTAATTGTAGCCACTTGGAATTTATCGTAAAGCGTAATCGCTACTGTAGCATAATACATCATTTCTCAACATTTAGCGCAGAGCGTTGTTGGGACCCCCCCATGCAGGCCCTCCTGTATGTACATGTAATAAATATTTTTCCTTGCACAGTCATTAACATCACAATCATTAACATGATTATCAGACTGGATGAATGAGTTGAAAATTTCACATTCAATGTATACATGTACAGTACATGTACTACTGTATAAGGAAGTAATAGAACTCTTTGTTCTAAGAAATACAGGAACAGACCATGTTTAAGTTAGCTTTAAGTCTATACACTGTACATGTAGATCTACTTTATTCACTAAATGGAAGCATTTTCCAGATACCTTCTACTATATCCAGCACCAGACCTGGGTTCTTGTAGGAGTGGAAATATATCATGTCCCCAATAGACCCATCTGTGAGGGCTGGGCTGAACACTGGGATGTTGTTCTGAAAAACCAAAGATTTACAGTTCATACAACAGCACACTGTAACAGCATTCATGCCAAGATAGTTTATGATTCTTACTGTGGATAAATTATGCATGCTTGAAAAACATATTAAGGCCTAGGAAAAAAAATATTGTGTTTCCTGTTTCACTGCTGAAAAAATTAGGGTCAGTAGGTAGGAATTGTCTTTTTTTTCTTTTTAGACTTATTATTTCTATATAGGGGTGTAACTTGTACAATACAGTTTAACAAAGTAAAACTTGCACGAGGACACTTAAAAAATTTATATTCAATGCCAATGTTAGAAAACCAATCGTACAACGTTTTATCACTGAAGTGTCAGATCATGGTGCTAAAGAAGGTTGATCAACTCAAAGAATGAATATCCCTCGCAGGTCCACCCCCAAAAAAGGGTCGGTCTAGGGTCGGTCGGGAAACAGGAAACACAACTTTTTTTTTCTTGGCCTAAGTAACACAGCTAGCTTGAGACAACTGTTGATTTTGATGTCACTCTACGAAATTCAATGTAGGTGCACAAAAGGGTGCACAAAAGAGGCACTCATCCATTCATGACAAGATGACATGAGAACCAGAGAATGTAAAATTAGCAAAGGCATCATAACTAAAAATGCACATTCAAGTATTTGAAAGCACGCATCAGTTTTTATTAACAATCAAAACTGTAGCCTTGCACTCTAACATTACAAAGTATCAAAACACAGTCTGTTAGCATGTAATTTAACTTTATATACAAACTAATGCCTGAAGGCTAATGGCTTGTGATCTTATTCCATGTGTATTGAGATAGCCCTGTCTGCCCTACCTTGTAACACCAATAATACACAGAATCTGGATTGTCAATCTCTTTTCCAAGTCTGTGGACCATCTTGGAGGGAGTCCAGACAGTTCCCTAAAGAAACAACAAAACATACTAGAAAGGCCGACATTTGCTTGGGAGCAAATACAGCATATTTCAGTCCATCTCCCTCCCACGCAAAAGTGGACTATTCCAAACTTACCCCAGTGCAAAACTGGCAAAGATTCTCAAATAAATGAATTAAATAGTAGCTATGAGAACAAAGATGCAAGAACAAGCACATTGAATCCTTGAAAGCTTTACTAATCTTATTACAGGTATGCAAATACTAACAATGATGAGATTTGATACATTTTGAAGGTTTTAGGCACATAAAATTGAATGTGTGGGTCATTACGCACGACTTACGTGCAATGTGACCCCAGGTAACCCGCAATGGAACACGTGTTCCATGGCCAACTGCAGATGGAACGGGCCATTCTTTAGATAGAACATGGAACGGGTATAGCACTTTTGGCCCTTTTTTTGCTGAAAATAGCCATTAAAGTCCCCAAATGAGTCATTTGGAAGTGGTGTATGCCAAATATGTGACTGCTATTCTGTAGACACATGTTCAAGGTACCCTTATACCGAATTTCAGATCATTTGGCTGTAAAACCAGGGCTCAGGATCCAAAAATCAATTTTTTGTAGAAAAATGACCCAAAAAACCTTCATTAAAATTTTTCAAAGGCATGTATCAAAAAAATGAAAAAAACACGCCTGGGGGTATTGGCCCACTCTACCTCCATGCCAAATTTCAAGTCATTTGGCTGAATGATGGCGGAGTTGAATCCCTTTGACTGTTTGGCAGGAGAAGAAGGAGAAACATGAGAGAACACAATATATTTCATCCATACCATGGTATGGACTGAAATATAATTAGTCTAAGAGATACTCATACTCAAGATGACAAAGTTAAACTTGCGATGAAATATCAAATGAAAGATATATCTCAAATATAGTAAACATATTTTACATATTTTGAATACCATTGTAAGATCATACATACATGTAACTACATGTAAATAGTACTTGGTATCTATAGACTGAGGTCATTCTGAAACAGGTTTAAACTCTCAGTAATTTTCAACAAAAAAATTAGACTTTTCCAAAATTTTTGACTGTTTTTGTAATTACTCGTCTTTGTAAAGAAATGAACAATCCACCACTTCTGCGACATTACTTTATGCAAATAGAACATGTAACTTGTTGAGCAGTGGATCATAAGTTACAGAACGTTTGGACACATTGGTCAAAGTAAAAATCTTGGACACCAGAGTTTTTCTTGCAAGAGGAATTACAAGACTGAAGTTGTACAGTCAATGATTTGGGTACATGTAAGTCCAATAATTTATTGTGTTGAAAATTATAGTTTAAACATGCTTTATAATAATAATAATAATAATAATAATAATAATAATAATAATAATAATAAAAATAATAATAATAAATGGTTTTTATTGTCCAAACAGTACCCATGCAGTTGAAGCCTTTATGCGGCTGAATTGATGCAGAGTATTACATAATAATCAATACAAATAATGATACGCATAAAACACATATTTGTTCCACAAATATTTGTGGAACTGTCGCAAGGGTCTAGATCTATACGGCAGCCATTCGGCGCCACAAGGTGACCTCAATACGACTTTCCCCAACCGAAGTCAGGTACCCATTCACACCTGGGTGGAGTGAGGAAATTCGTGTAAAGTGCCTTTCCCAAGAGCACAACGTCGAGGCGCATGTCCAGACATGTCCTGGGTATGAATCGGAATCGAACCCAGGTCTCCCGGTTCATAGTCGAACGCTCTAACCACTACACCACCCGACGCCACCCGTTTTGTTTATGATAAACAAAGCAATAAACATCATAGAGTAGAGACTTGACTACCTGTGTTTTTTGTTCCAGTAACATCTGGTCCAGTATGGGCATGATCCAGTCTTCAAACTTACAGTAGTTATCGTTAGGTACTAGCAGGTTACCGATTCTGTTGATACCTGAAAAATATTTGAAAAAGCATGTTTAAAGGTTCAAAAAGGTCATTAGTGAAATGGAAATGCTTCTGAAAGATGTTTTACATTAATACCTTTTGGGTCTTTTAAATGCACATAAGGCCACACCAATTTAATTTGTTGGTTCTCAGATTTGCCTTTTCCTTTTTTCTGATTTGCAAAAAAAAAAAAAAAAGATTCTGGTTCTGAATCAAGTCACATATGCTCATATTTTGTCCCCAACAGTTGAGGAATGTCCTTTTCTTCCTAGATGTTACAGTTTTCCATCTAGCAATGCAGTGGTTTGATTGAAAGTTCAAAATTTCTTATTTAAATACTAGTAATCCAGCCATTTGTGTTGACTTCATGGCTCCTATCGTAGCATTTGGGGCTATAACTAGTATAAGAGGATGCCTAGACCTGATTCTATTTTTTTTCGCCCTGTCGCTTCATATTTTTTCTGAAAAAATCCGAGAACCAACATATTAAATTGATGTGGCCTAAAGAATGAAAAAAACAACAACACCGGATTTAAGCATACTGAAATATTTTTGAGATTTAAGATCAAGTTGAGTACCTTTCACACGAAGGTCCTTCCCTTTTAAGTGAAACTCTCCAAGATAAGTTGGTGCCAAACATTTGATGAAGTCTTCCTCTATACCTCCTGCTGTAGCCACTATACAGTCTACCTGTAGTGGGATGGGAGATATCCATAACATCAAGAACTCAGCTAAGTTGCTTAGTAATGCACCTGCTTAATGTAATGATAGATTTTTTGAAAACTGTCTGCAGTTCCAGTACAAGCCCCTATACTGACGACACTTCTTCTCAAGCACAAGAGCTACAATGTATCTGTAGCTACCATCCAAAAATTATGCCCATGCGCCTGTGGCCCATGCGCCCATGGGAATATAAAAATTCGGTGCACCAAATTTTTTTAGGTTGGGTGCACTAGTGCAACTATTCCCAAAAATGAATTTTGAGCCCCGTTGTGACTTGTGTGACTGTATTTTGTACTGGAGAGAAAGAGCCAGTTTTTCAGTAATAGAACTGGACACACAACAATAATTTCCCCATGCCTTACCATGTTGTGTTTGGTGAGGAAGCGGAGCGTTTCCCTGACTCCAGATGAGATGAGGTTAGAGGTGTAGCCCAGGAAGATGGTACAGTTAGTCCTGGGGCGACCCATGGGGTGTAGGTTCACGGGCTGGTCCTCCTCAGGGTCCACCGGCAGGGGCTCCGCTTTCTTCTCCAACTGGGGAGAAATACAATGTGGTAATCTCAATAGGTAGTGTGTTGTCGGGTGGCATAGTGGTAGATCATTTGAATGTGAACCGGGAGACCTGGGTTCAATCCCGAGTTGTACCTGGGACATGTCTGGACATGCGCCCCGACGTTGTGCCCTTGGGAAAGGCACTTTACACAACTTTCTTCACTCCACCCAGGTGTGAATGGGTATTATAATATAACTTCAGTTGGGGAAAGTCGTATTGAGGTCACCTTGTGGCGCCGAATGGCAGCCGCACAGACCCTTGCGACAGTTCCACAAAAATGTGGAACAAATATGTATCATGTGTACTATTATGTGTATTATTATGGGTTCACCACACCACGAAGTGGTGGTGAACCCATATTGCTTTTTCTGATGTTTCTTCTTCTTCTTCTTCTCCTCCTTCTTCTCCTGCCATTTTTTAAATGGATTCAGCTTCTTCATTTTAGGGCCTAAGGTCCTGAAATTTGGTATGGAGGTACAGTGGGCAAATACCCCTAGGCGTTTTTTAAATTTTTGTGATACAGGCTTTTAGAATGGTTTTATTTGAGTTTTTTGGCTGTGTTATAGCAAATGTATTACTGTATTAGTGTGCCGTGTTTACCACGTCTGGGCATGAGTCATCACAATGGAATGCAGGGCATCAACCAATAGGCATGCAGCTTTCCTCTATACTTCTTGCTGATTGGCTGTTGGGATTTAACTTGATTAACAGGCTGCACAGAGCATTTCCACCTGCACAGAGCACTTCTTGCTGATTGGCTGTTGGGATTTAACTTGATTAACACCTGCACAGAGCATTTCCATACTGACAGTATGTCTTTATTCAAGTGTTTTGGTAGGTATTTCAAGCTTTTCTGCTCCAGCATTGGAATGCGGGGCGTGAACGTTTTTTTTTATTTTGAAAATCAACAGTTTGCATTATGCAATTAAAAATCCTAACCAATAAAGTAGGGAATAGCTATCCAACTGTTGTTTTACAGTAGTTGTATGTTACTTCATATTATAGTTATATCAATGTAAATCATTGTTTTCCCTTGTGTTTCTCATTCTTTCCCTGCCATGTCGTAAAATGTGGTGAACCCATCGCTGTATTTGCTCCAAAGCAAATATTGGCCTTTCTAGTTACCATTTGTATCATCTGATTGTAAACCCTGCATCAATTCAGCACTATAAGGCTGCGATTGCATGGGTGATGTATGGCCAATGAACCATTTATTATTATTATTATTATTATTATTATTATTATTATTATTATTATTATTATTATTATTATTATTATTATTATTATTATTATTATTATTATTATTATTATTATTATTATTATTATTATTATTATTATTATTATTATTATTATTATTATTATTATCATTATCATTATCATTATTATTATTATTATTATTATTATTATTATTATTAGGTAGTTGCCTACCTACCTACCTAGTCCCATAACTGACACTAGTTGCTGGAGGGACAAGGCAGACTTTGTGAGTGCTGTCCTTGGTGCTGAAACAGGGTTCCTAACCGACTTAAGAAACTCTTTTTTATGTGTGCGTAGATATGTAAATATCTACATGCACATATCCAACTGCACTTATTGAAAAGTGTATGGGGGTCCATCCCAAGTGTGAGCGAACCAAACCTTACACTTTACAGTCTCAGGTCTTACACATCTTGTACATACTGCACACTAAAACACAGTGTGTTATAGGTGGTTTACTGTTTATGCCAAGCAGTGGGACATACGTACCATCCTGTTGATTTCCTCCACAGCCCTGCCGAAGCTGGTCGCCTGGAAGCCGGAGGTGAGGTATGTCTGCAGCAGAGCGTGGTAGTCCACTCCGTTACTGAAGTCATAACCTGACACCTGGGGGCAAAGGTCAGGGGGCAAAGGTCAGGGGTCAGTCAGAACAGTACACATTCCTGGTGTCCCCATAGGTCACATCCTACCACCCAGGCATACTGGGTCACAACCCTGTCAATCAACTGACACCCAATTAAAAATCTCCATCCACTCAATTCCCATTTTTGCTGCTCCGAATTTCCTTCCCAAATGTAATAAATATGTAAGAAGCTGTGTTACCTGTTACTACTCAGCGTGCAAAATACCTGGTAGCCCAGTTGCCCCGGGCAACCAAATTTTACTTGGGGCAACCTATTTTTGAACCTAGGTAGCCCAGTGTGCTACCTGCATTTTAAGAATGCCCCTCCCCCCAAATCATGCCCACTTGGCTTGCATTACTGTATCCTGCGGATGCTTTTTAATTTTAGGTATTAATGTCTATTAGTAGTAACGGTTTAGTTAACGTTACTAAAGGCTGTTAGAAATATTGTCAAAGGCTTATAAATGTATGTAACATAATTTGAGGAAAGTAGTAACTTAAGTAGGTGGGGCAACCTAAAATTCTGATGGGCAACCAAATTTTTGCCGTAGGTTGCCCACTGGGCAGCCTGGTTCAAAAAGTATTTTGTACACTGCTTACTGTAAGGCAACAGGTAGAACTGGTCTTACCACATTTTGTCTGCTCTACCCTAGTTGTGGTGGATACATTTTACAACATTTTAAAAAAGGATTCCTTAGGCTGTTTTAAAGCTAGTTAGCTCTGCCGTACTTGACTCAGTTCACGGTTAGAAGTTAATTTCAAAATTCTTGCAAATCTTTTCTTGGACTTTTTTGTAAACCGGCCATGATTGGCCCAATTACCTTAAAACAGTGTGCAATAATTAGTTAATTAATTTGCAAGAATCTAGCTCCTTAATCAGTTACGCTTCTTATAGTTTCTTATAGTAGAAATCTTAAACTTCTAATTTTGAAGAAATCACTATCAGTAACACTATATCAGTATATAAAGTTAACTTAATTTATATGTTATAACATGTTATGTCCTACTCACCACAACAGAATCTGCCGGCATTTCTTCGCTCTGCACTAAGACGGCATCTGTAGCTTTACTTGGAGGAGCCTCAGCCATCTTGTACACCCTGATAACGAAGACACTTGGATCTTAAGAAAGGGCCACTAGTACTGTGACACACACACTCACTAACTCACGTGCAGACGCCTTGCAAAAACTTGCACTTCCGCGAAATAGTAGGGTCCTCACAGATTGTAGGTTACCGCAGTAGCAGTTTTAATGCCTGACTATAATGGCACTGAATTTTAATAATAAAAAATCATTACATGTTCAGCAAGTATCTAAAATCTAAAACCTTATAATTGGTTTTAAATATCTTAGCAATTATAATCCTACGTACCTTGGAATTTTTGTCTGAGGAAATTATATTGATAAAAAAGTTTGGCAGCTAAAAAATATACCACCAGGTCGAAGTTTGACCTGTAACCTCCCCAAGTCGTTGGTTGCATGCTGCCTTAGCCAAAGTGACGTGAGTTTGTGTTTTTAAAGCAAGAAAACAAAACTTTTGGTGTCGTTTGGTGACAGCCTTGGGTGTAAACAGGTATCTTAGTAGAATTGTGTCCTTTGTAAAGTGTTGACAGCCGCTAGTTTTGTCTAAATGTGTTCTAACAGCTCACAAGTGTAGGGCAGTAGTGGGAGGGGGGGCTACAGAATCTTGTACACATTGTTAAAAAAAAATTAGCTTCAGAAGCGACTGGAAATAGTAGAAGCTGTCGAAATATTTTATCTAGCACCCAAATACTTTCTATTTGTTATCCGGTGGTTGATAAACTTCACATGCATGTAAATTCTGTATATTCTTCTGTTGTTGGAAGATGGAAATTTTAAATACATGCACGCCTTTGAAACTTTAATAAAAGATTTTCCAGTGCATACACATGCTTTTTACCGATTTCAGTCACAGTGCAAGGCTTAGTAGAGAAATTTATTGCAAATTTATGGATGAATTCATAAAGGTATTTATGCCCGGGGGCGAATTGCAATTTACTAACATAAATCAAAGAACATTGAAACTGAGTATAAAGTAACTAAAATCTACATAATGAAAGGGTTGTCTTAAACTATAGCTATGTCTAAAACTATATCTGAAGGCTTTGAATTCTCTTTTGTAAACCATAGAAGATGTAATGTCCCACCTTTTCCCAAATTTGTGGATTTTGGGAAGTTAAAAAGAAGAATAGTTTTTTCTATGAAGGTTAGAGAAATTGGAATGAATTGTAGAAGTTTGAATGGTCAACTCATTTTGAGCGTTGTTATGAAATAAACAGTTTGAGTCTTTTTTTTTCCAGGTCGACATGACAGAGAAGGCCAAAGCTCAAGTTGAGGATGCTCAGCCTACACTTGGGGTCCACGCTTTCTCTGAGAGAGTTTTTGAACAGACTGTTCACTTTCAGGTTTGTGAGAATCCAGAATCCAACTATGCCATGGTTAACTATTTTTATAGATTGTTAGAAAAGAGTGAAATATGTGTCGTTATTAATATTTATTTACATTGCAGAGCACGTCGGCAGAACATACTGCACCTGCGCGAAACTCGTAATGTATTGTGCACAGCACTTCTTTAGAACGTCTCATATAATGTCGTATTCGCGCATATAAGGTTACCACTGCATCTGTAGTTTCCAAATGTTATGTCGGAAAAGATATCTCTGCAACAATCCAAAAATCCAACGAAAACTGTGAAAATGGGCCGGGGGTTTTGGAAAAATTATAACATCCATATCCATAAAAATTATAACAGAAATGTCACCAAAAAAGTTAAGGCATGCATATAGCTCCTCACAACTACAGACCTATTGCTTGATTCACAGAGTGTTATACAAGACCGTTGTATGTCAACTGTTTATTCACACATCTTGTTCTATACTTCACAGGTACTAAAACTGAAGGACAGCTTCTTCCTATGGGTGGGACTGCAGCCTTCAATGGCCAACTTAGCCGTCGCACTGCCAGCAAAATTTGACTCCATTCCGTCCACGTCCGCCCTGTTAGGCGAGTTTTCCGACACCACGTCATGTACGCTGGCACAGAAACTCTGTAAACACACGGGTAAACAAGTGTTTGTGAGCTGTAACCTACCGACACAGGACGGAATGTTACTGGTGGAAGTGGAGAAGAGAATTCACAAAGAAATCAAGGACAACCCAGAGAAATTCTGGTTGTAACTAAATAACTGTTTGAATAATACACAGATGCCAAGGGGAAAATATTTTTATGCTTACCAAAGGAAAACATATTGTTTCCTCCTCTTCTTCTCCAAACCAATAAGGTCAACGACCTGAACCAGACGTCTGTCACCATGGTAACTGGTGTTGGGTTACATCATGTTGCAATTTTATAGCAGAAGGGATTTAGACTCCTGTCACCATATATATGAATGTGTTTGAGTAAGAATTAACAGAGCAAACCATATGCCAATTAGGAAAACATGCATTTTTTTTGTAAATGTTACCTTTCTAGTTTACTGGCTATACTTGCACTGGTGTGGCTAACATTGAAAATTACTTGTACTAGACGAATTTTACCTGCACAAATATGGATCATACTAAATATTATTCAAAACCCATTTAATCTTTGTTTCTATTTGTTAAAGTCAATACTCTGTGAGCATGGTGGTATTGTTGTAATCGCAAGAAAGGTTTGTTGAATGACAAGCCACCTCAAAGTTATCTTAATTACCCACATTGTCATCCTTATTATCTTTAACTTTGTCAGTAACAATGTGTACTTAATCAAATTATAGACAGTATTAGTCAATAGATACACCAATAAAGGTCCACATTGCTGTGTAATATGCAGTTACCACACTACCAAAAATGTTTTTTCTTGTTCATCTTGTTCTTCTTCCAGACAGAAAATTTATCTTCCATGAAGAAATTTTTTCTGTGTCCAAGAAACATTTGAAAACTTGTTTGTCAATATGGGGCAAGATATTTTTTCCTGAGAATTTTTCTTGCAGTAAGATTTGCATTCTTATATTTCTTGCAGGTATTGACCCAGTTACTTTTAAGAACGCTTTTCTTCAAGTACTTGCTAAAGATCTTATTGTATAAATATATATATATATATGCCAAGGTACTTGTTGAATATGCAGTTACCATGGAATTGCTATATCATTTGAAGTTAGTAATACCATACATCTACTACACTGTAGTGTACAGTAAAGCTGTTTAAATTGGAGGTTACAGCGCCCCAGGCCATGTTTAGAGGGTGACGTCACGAAGGTACATGGTAACACGAGCCACGCCCAAGACAAAAGCGCCCCGGCACGACAATGAAAGTGATACGATTACTGCAAACCTTTGTGAAAACAGGCTGAGCGGAGAACAGCCATTTTACAAGTACACTTATTGTTTAGCGTGTAGAAATTATCCCTACTGAATCATACTTGCATTCGTTATTTTATATCCAGTCGCTTGTCACATATAAAGCAACTCATGTGTAATCCTTACGTCACCCTTGACCTTATTTGGCACTTTTGGGCGTATAAGGAAGTAGAATGAGGAAGTTGTTCGCCCGGGAGTTTAGATTTGACAAGACGGACACATACTATTCGCGGGAACTTCAGCTACTTCTTTGTCGTGTTATTGACGTAAACTGAGAAGGGGGAAGCTACTATTAGACTTCCTTGGCCAACGAAAGGAGACATGGGGCGGGTAGAACGAGTACTGCCGCTGCTTTGTATCACCTGGCTTGGTCTAATCACCGGTGTCGTAGGTAAGAAGACATATTTCTCCATAGTTCTTACCGTGAAGGTCATATACCTAGTTCAAGGGCATCGTGGAGTGTTACGGTAACTTTAGTAGGTTCAAGATTAGTGCTGCACATGCCTAAACCCACATTTAGGTTCAGGTCTGGATTCAAGTCCAGAAGTTTAGGTTCAGTTCCAGACTCGTAAGTCCGGACCTAAACCCACGGCATATACAAAATTGCATGTTGGCAGCCTTGCAATGTCGTATGGGCAAAACTGTGGCCACATAAAACATGGAGGCCGATACTTTACGATGCCCGATGGCAATGTTTTCATCATTTTGCAGCAAAGATTTTGCAATCTACGGAATGTTTAAGTTGGTTTGGAAAGAAAAGGGGTATGTGAAATGGTCTTTTATGGTAATAAGTCCGGACTCGGTTCCTGGCTTTTAGTTTTTTTTGGACTTGAACCTAAACATTATTACAAGTCCGGATCCAAGTCCAGTGAACCGGTACGGAACCGCCTACTAGAAATCACTTAGTCGGCATAATTGTGGTTAATACATAATACTTTGCAGTTTAAAATTACTTTTATGTTGATGTGTTATATTTAAAACATAGTATACACCGGACATCAGGACAGAAATAGCTTTGAATTCATCACAACCATAGTGTGTTACACATTGGTGTATACACTATTGATAGGGTTACGTGTTTTGGTGTTTCAGTTTCAGGCCCCGGGGCGGTGGGGAAGAGTTTTTAACGCGTTATTTTAATATAGCCGGTCATCCTACATAGCCGTGTGTGTGTGTGTGTGTATGTGTGTGTGTGTGTGTGTGTGTGTGTGTGTGTGTGTTTGTGTGTTTGTGTGTGTATGTTTGTGCCTGTTTACAAGAACAAAGAACAGAAACGTGCATGGCTTTCCCAGTACTGGCATTTCGAAATGTTAGATTATTTCATTACAGGCACAACCCCGCCGCAGGACTGTGCGGACCTGTTCGCCGCCGGAACCCCTCTCTAAAAGGCCCACGACATTGTACTCCTTCACTCTCCTTAAGATGGTGTCTTTCAGGACGAGAAACTGCGCCTCTAAGAAGTTGTTGTTGGTGTGATTTCCTCTTACAGGCAGGTGTGTACGGAAACAAAGTGCAAAGGCCTCCTTCTTGTCGCAGAGGTTGGACAGATAAGTGATGAAATTTGCATACTGCTTACACTTGTCATCTTCAAACATGTCGGCACAGCAGTTCTGAAATGTTTCTTCAGTCTCTGCATAGAGGCATCTCTTAAAGAGGCTCAGTAGGTAGGGCCGATCATCCTGTTTTATGTTGTGGTTTTTGTCATGCAGCCACTTCCATACCTGTTGTAGTACAGAGCAGAAGGTTTGCACCTGGCCATGTTTGGGTAAGAGCATTACGCTCCTCATCACAGTTATCAGTCAGTATGACATCAGGACCTGCATCAGGTCCATGCCCGTAGAAGGCATGGGAGGGCAGAATAGACTTCAGAGTCTGAAACCCCTGACACAACGTGCCTTCTTTTTCATCACTAGTGATCACGATGCCCAATGGCAATGCACCCGCCACATGATGTGTGCATAGCATGAACACTTTCAGGTTGTGTTCTTCTGTGTTTGAAGTTGCATCTATGAAAACCAGTTCTCCTGACTGCTGTACTTCTTTGTGCACCCTTTTCATCAGTGGTGTCACAAGTGCAATAATGAGGGGTTGACTGTCTCCCTCATAAAGCTGGTAGCTGGTGCTGGCCTCAGGATTCTCCTCTTCATATGACTTAAGTCTTTCCACGAGTTTGGCAAACATCTGTCTGTCTTTCCCCCCATAGTTCTCCTTCCCAAACTGAGCGTACAGATGACTGAAATCCCTTCTCCTTGGTGTAATGGCACGATCAGCAGTTACTATTAATTCATTGCTAATGCAAACCCCAATGTCAAACGTGATTAAATCAAGAAAATAAATCAATCAACTGAAGTAACCTTTGCAAAGAAAATCTATTATTTTTACCTTTACATGGTACAGTGTGGTCAATGAGGTTTTGGTCCAGCCTAATAAACTGCTGTTCTGTTTACTCTTACTTAAACAAATTCAATCAAACATATAAAAATATGGTGACCAGCCCATGAAGCCTGCTACATTATGTAATCCAACACTACATGGTGTCTGCTACAGAACCAGTTACCATGGTGACAGCCGTCTGGTCCAGGCCATTGACCTTACTTGATTCAAAAAGAAAAAAAAAACATGTTTTCCTTCGACGAAGAGAAACATAATTAATCAGCCAACATGTAATGAATGTAGGTTTCTTAATCATATAATCTTCTTGGCACATCTCAGAAATATAAAATGACGACATTTGGTTAGGCCGTGTTTATGTGAAGTCACCCAAGGCGCTTTACATGCGGTTTACCCCGAAGCCAGTTTCAAGTGGCCCCATCTGAACGCTCCAAATCACATTGAAAGCGCCTCGATCCCAAGCCACTTCTAGTGGTGGTTTCGAATCGGTTTTCCCGTATCGCGGTTTGCGTCTGAACGCAATGTGATTTCAATGTGACTTCACTTGGTCATGGATTACGGGGTGATATTTCTTTATTTATATGCAATACCAAATTTTACGTGTCAGCAACTTAAAGGGCAGTAATGGTCAAATAATATGTGTCCGTTCTAGGACGAGCTCGCCGCCTCTGGCGGGACTACGTCGGCATTCGGCCGAGATACGCTGGGAGGGGGGCACCAGCAAGCAGGTCGTTGACCTCTGACAATAATGACACGCTACCTAGCGTGTTTTCATCAAACAACAATGACAGTAGTTTCGGAGAATCGTGATTGGGCACGTTTTAAAAGAAATGTATGGCACGTGGACCAGATGTGAGGAATGTGAGTTACCCGAATCGCGGTTTGGTTGACTTTACATAAACACGGCCCAAGGCCTGCAATAGACCGATTCTACAGCCCCGCCCACCTCCGCCAAAACATAAATGACAAACATGTAGCCACTAGCTCTCTCATTGGTCGAACCACAAACTGCCATGCTATCATTGGTGAACTGATAGCTGCGACAGTCGTCAGGAGTGGTCATTCAGTGTTTCTGCAGACTCTGGTAGATAATTTTTCAGGCCTCAGCTCCTGGTATGGCCACACCGTCTTAATTTTATGGATGACATCCTCTGAAGACCCCCAAACTAGTGCGCGCGGGCGAATAAAAAAATTCCGGCCAAAAATAAAAATGCTACTAAACCACAGGAATGCAAAGCTGGTATTGTGAATTTACAGTAGTACTTAATGACGTATACGACAAGCCAGGCTTCTTGCGGAATTTATTAATCAGCACTGTACGTATGTACTGAGTTCTTGAGTCGTGGAGCTTCGGTAACCTGGGCGCCCGGGCTCCGTATTGTCGGTAAGTACCATGGACTACCCAGGCCTAGATCTTAGAGCAAGGCCAGAACCCCGGTGGACGTGATCCATGCCTTCGACAGTGTGATATTGTTTTGGTCTTTTCCAAATTTAAAATGACCAGTGTTACTACAGTAACGTACGGACCTCCTACGACGCCCATTTCCGAACTTGATCTTGCTATCGTCAACGGTAACTTGCTCACAAAAATCGTAAACATCCATTTGCAGATTCTCGAATTATCCCGCTAACAACAATAACGACCAACACAAAAGGTCAAATTCAATGACATGGGAACCCCCACGAGGCCCATATCCGAACTTGACCTCCGTATTCTCAACGGCGACTTGCCCACTAAAAATCGTAGGCAACCATTTAAGGATTCCCGGGTTATCTGGAGTACAACAAAAAACGCAAACACAAAAGGTCAGCTCCAGTCACGTAAGAACCTCCCCACGAAGTCCATTTTTGGCCTTGACAATGCCCATCACTAAGACAACCTGCCTACCAAAAATCGTGAACCTCGGACCAAGCTTTCAAACTTTATCGTGCATAATCTGCCAAACAGTGCCAAAACGATTTCATAGCCTTCTGTCGAAGGCAATTAAGTCGGTAGGGCCTAGTCGTCATTCAAGGGCTGGGGTGACCGGACGGTTGGTGGTTCGATGGTTTCCATGGAAACCTCGACATAACTTCCGCTTCCGGGTCGTTGTGACGCCACCCTTGGATGTTGCACGTTTTCATACTCTCCATCACCTACGTCTGTAAAGAAGTGGAAAATATTATTTTACATTCGTTTCTTGTTCTTCTTCCGTTCCCAACAAACAAGGTCAATGACCCGAACCAGACGGCTGTTAATATGGTAACTGGTGCTGTAGAAGGCACCCTGTGGTGTTGGATTACATCATGTATGAAGAAGAGATTTGGAGAGTAGTAATTACGACTTTACGATCAGAAAGTAGTGGGTATTCGATACCTCTTTTCCCGCCATTCTTCGCTCTCCTGATACGTAGAAACAGGAACACAGCAGCGCCCCCTACCAGTAACCCGCCGGTAAAACATCCAACTGCAGCCCCCGCTACGACTCCGGGTCCTGAACAATTTGGTGCTTCTGCAAATCAAAGTCAATTTCTTGAAAGAGAAAATGAGATTAACATTGAAAGCAAGCTTCAAAATCAGTTTTAGAAGACTCTTTCCAATAGCAGTTTTGATTAATTTTCTTAATCCTATATATCTATTTATCTATTTATTCAGCCTCCGGGCTGCAAAATGTTTTAATCAATAAACCAGTCATCATCATCATTTCATGCCCGTAGCCAGGATTTTGAATGAGGGGGTTCTTCCCACTGCTGGAGGGGACCTCGAGCGCCGTACAAAGTTCCTAGGGGGTCCGGAGGCGCATGCTGCCTCAGAAAATTTTGAAAAATGAATATTCTAAAATGGCATTTCGTGCGTTTTTGAGAGGATTTCCAAGAAAAAAATCAGAGATACATTTTTTATTCAATGACAAAGGGAGCAGTTTTCTACGATTCCAGTCCATCTTTTCAAGAAAAATCTTGGCCCTTTACATAAAAAGTGGACCAAAAAGTGGACCCTTGCATAAAAAGTGGACCAAAAAGTGGACCATTACATAAAAAGTGGACCAAAAAGTGGACCTTTGAGCCTTGTGGGTGGGTTCTTCCGAACCCCCCTGGCTACGGGCATGCATCTATCTATCTATATTCCGACTCATGATCAATGAGTTGAAGCTTATACAAAGTTTTTCTTCTAGAATAAAAGTCTGTCATACATCACTCGATTATGATTCTTCATCCATCAGACCATATAAGTGCTTACTAAATTAAACAAAGAAACAACCTGATTAAAATCAGAAATGCACCACAAATGAAATAGAAAAAATACAATGTCAACCTCTAGTGTGCCGTTGGAAACAAGGATTCGGAGGTCCCATACCTCCATATTTGGTATCTGTTGAATTGAGTGTTGATGTTCCACCTGCCATAGATTACATGTACCTGTAAAGTCAGCAGGCCTGATCATGATGGTTGTTTTCTTCAAAAAGTAACTTGTGCCTCCCCAGGTCGACCAGACGACTCCCTGGCCAGCACCACAGTTGACCGAACTCTGGTGACAGTCATACCGTCCGTTTAAGAATGACTGTCCACAGCTAGGCGGATACCACCACCCACCATGGCTCAAAAAAGATGCACAATTCGCTCCACTGTTTCCGTCGTTATCTCGATCTATGGTAGAAAACATTCTGCCGTTTATGTCAGGCAGACCACTGTTGGTGAGGCTGTCTCCTGCGTCCCCGCTGTACCCAGAAATAGACACTACATAATTCCCGCTCGCGTCCCCGACTGAAAACGTACTGTACCGCGCGTACCTTCTCGTTCCGTTAAAATCTTCCAGCTCAATCTGTAGAATGTTGTTACTCTTTGCCGTTGTCAGTGTGTGAATGTTGTCCAGCCCCAACCAAAACTCTCCGGTCAGGTCGCCGAACCCTTGCTGATACTCCTCCCAAGTCTTGGCGAAGTCCACGGATCCGTCTTGTCGGCGCTGAAGGACGGTCCAGCCGCCGCCCTGGAAGGTCATGTCGCAGTACACGCGGTACGGGCTGGGCTCGCCGACTGTGTAGGTCCCGCTCTTACGGGTCCCGGCGGCGAACAGGTCCGCACAGTCCTGCGGCGGGGTTGTGCCTGTGATGAAGTACATGTAATTCAACATTTCGAAATGCCAGTCTGGGAAAGCCATGCACGTTCTGCTGTTCTTTGTTCTTATACACACACACACACACACACACACACACACACACACGCACACACACACATATATATCTGTACAGAAGGTGTGCAATGGAAAGGGGGGGGGGAGTATTTTAGAAATAAAACGCATAAAGGTGCATCCCCGTTGCTCCTATTATATTGGACAGAACCAACAAGTGGACGAGACTTGCAATACTTTAAATACACCAAAAGTCAAATGTTGAAACCATTTTCACGCTCAAAGGGGTGTTTTGGGGCCATCAAAAGGCACCATTTTCCCGCCCGAAAACACATATACAATAAAAACAAAAGAACGTGCATCATCTACAGCCCAATAGCAAAACATATACAGAGTCCCAAAAGAATCCGTCCACCCAAACCCGAGAAACGGCTGCGAACGTGAAAATCTACATCTCCCACAAAACCCTTCCGCGGAAGGATATATCCTCCCCCGGATGCAACAACTGACAAGAATCCGAGATCGCATGTTCCGTAACACAGACAGCTGAATCATGCAGGACACAGGCATGACTGCTCTAAAAGTGTCCCCGCCAATTTCCGACTGTACCACGATCGTACGACGTGTGCTGCCGAGCCTTTTTCACGGTTACATACGCACTGAACTGCGTGATTAGTACGGTTAGTACTTAACTTAAGCTACGGTCACAACCCGCCGTACGTGCTTCTGCGTGCTGTCTACGTGCAAAAACGTGGGCAAACGCAGGGCATCCGTGCGTGGTGAGTACCGGCTCCGTACGGAATCCTACGGATTTTGGAACACGCAGACACGCCGTAGAACTAACTTTAAGTGCATGTAAAACTTTTTCTACGTGCGGTCTGCGGATTCACCACCCGTGCGTGCGAGTACGGTCCGTACGTAAGAAGCACGTGTGAGTGCGGCCTCCTTACGGTAAAGTTGCAATCGCACAGAGATCGTACGTTGTAAGCACGTATAACTCACCACTTGCGCAACGAACGATGCACGCAACCGCTCACGGCCAGACGTGGCGTGCAGACCACACTCTTACACCTTGCGAAACCGTGCGAGTGACGTGCGTAGACGCGACTCCTTCCCCACGTTTTCAGAAAAAGACGTAGCAGACGTAGCCTCCCAAAAAACGTACAGACAAAAAGCACGTACGGCGGGTTGTGACCGAGGCTTAACCGTACTAATCACGCAGTTCAGTGCGTATGCAACCGTGACCATGGATAAAAGGGATCAACCAACAATACCACCGTCACAAGGTTGATCTTGTAATGTGAACTGTATACGTTTCTCTGCAATTCTTCGCTGAGTACAATGATACAATACAACGCAGTAGTGTATTCTACTCCTTCCGTTTGTTTTTTACGGAGGTATGCCCTCCCCCCTCTCCCTTAACGTTAGAAGTGTTTGTGCAAAACTACTAAAAGATGCTATAGCTACGTTGCATTTTTATACGGCCATTACCACAAAACAAATTGTAATTGGGCAACGAATCTTACAGGTAAGCAACGAAACATTCTGCAACTGAAACACCAAAACACGTAACCCTATAGTGTATACACCAATGTGTAACACACTATGGTTGTGATGAATTCAAAGCTATTTTTGTCCTGATCTCCGGTGTATACTCTGTTTTAAACGTGGCACATTAACATAAAAGTAATTTTAAACTGCAAAGTATCAACCACAATTATACCGTCTAGTAGGGCTCCATACCGGTTCACTGGACTTGGATCCGGACTTGTAATAATGTTTAGGTTCAAGTCCAAAAAAAACTAAAAGTCAAGAACCGAGTCCGGACTTATAACCATAAAAGACCATTTCACATACGTCATACCCCTTTTCAAGCCACCTAAAACCCTCCGTAGATTGCAAAATCTTTGCTGCAAAATGAAGAAAACATTGCCATCGGGCATCGTAAAGTGTCGGCCTCGGTGTTATGTGGCCAAAGTTTTGCCCAAACAACATTGCAAGGTTGCCAAAATGCAATTTTGTATATGCCGTGGGTTTAGGTCCGGACTTACGAGTCTGGAGCTGAACCTAAACCTCTGGACTTGAATCCGGACCCGAACCTAAATGTGGGTTTAGCTATATGCAGCACTAATTTCTAGTTATCTACCGTAACACTCCACGATGCCCTTGAACTAGTATATGACCTTCACGGTAAGAACTATGTCTTCTTACCTACGACACCGGTGATTAGACCAAGCCAGGTGATACAAAGCAGCGGCATGACTCGTTCAACCCGCCCCATGTCTCCTTTCGTTGGCCAAGGGAGTCTAACAGTAGCTTCCCGTTGTGCTTGTAAATGTAATGTACTTGTCCTGTTTTCAAAAGGTTTGCAGTATTCGTATCACTTTCACCGTCGTGCCGGGACGCTTTTGTCTTGAGCGTGGCTCGTACGCGTGTTACAATGTACATGTACCTTCGTAACGTCACCCTCTAAACATGGCCTAATCATATCAAAGAGTTCCCATATATATATAATTTTAACACCTAAATGCAAACGATAATTTATACTTTTGATGCGTCTAGACAAACCCTATAAAATAGAATATCAGCAAAAGCTAATCATGTTTTTCATGCAATTTTACTAATAACGTTGAAATGACGTAACCTGGGCCCGGCTTTCCAGGGACGCCGCTGACGGAGCGTACTCACGTCTTTCTGTGTTTTTCGAGTGAATTTGGACCGTTCTCATAGATAGACCTTTAGTCAAATCGCTACATACTTCTAGTACTACACACAGGGCATGTTACTACACGGGGATCATTTCGAATTCGCTCGAAAAAGACAGAAATATGTGAGTCAGCGGCGTCCGCCATCTTGAAACGGAGAAAGCAGGGAAAGCTGGGTCTAAGTCACGTGATTCAACGTCATTACTAAAATTGCACTGTATTCCGTAAAATTGCACTGTATTCCGTAAAATTGCACTGTATTCTAATACGATTGCACTGTATTCCGTAAAATTGCACTGTATTCTAATACGATTGCACTATTCCGTAAAATTGCACTGTATTCTAATACGATTGCACTGTATACCGTAAAATTGTACTGTATACTCTGGCACCCCTGTTTTCCATTGTACAAAAAAAAACGAGAAGTTGACCACTCTGTATTAGCTCAGTAACTAGAACACTTTGTATTAGCCTAGTATTGTACCCTTGTACTACACAGTATTCCGTAAAATCGCACTCAGTATACTAATACGATTGCGCTGTATTCCGTAAAATTGCACTGTAAACTAGTAAACTTGCACTGTATACCGTAAAATTGCACTGTATACTCTGGCACCCCTGGTTACGTGTTTTTGGTGTTTCAGTTGCCCGATTACAATTGTTTTGTGTAAAAACGTATAAAAATGCAACGTAGCTATAGCATCTTATAGTAGTTTTGCACAAACCGTAAAGCCTCTGTCACAACCCGCCGTACGTGCTTTTTGTCCGTACGTTTTTGTTTGGAGGCCACGTCTGCTACGTTTTTCTGAAAACGTGCGTTGTACGCTCATAGGCTGTACAGGGCACGCGCGTCGCACGTACGGGTGGCGAATCCGCAGACCGAACGCATGAAAAGTTTTACATGCACTTAAAGTTCTACGGCGTGTCTGCGTGCTCCCGAATCCGTAGGATTCCGTACGGAGGCGGTATTCACCACGCACGGATGCCCTACGTTTGCTCACGTTTTTGCACGTAGACAGCACGCAGAAACACGTACGGCGGGTTGTGACCGTCGCTTTACCGTAAGGCTAGTAGGCCGTACTCACACGTGCTTCTTCCGCACGACGCGTACGGGGCACGCGCGTCGCTCGTACTCGCACGCACGGGTGGTGAATCCGCAGACCGCACGTAGAAAAAGTTTTACATGCACTTAAAGTTCTACGGCGTGTCTGCGTGCTCCCAAATCCGTAGGATTCCATACGGAGGTGGTACTCACCACGCACGGATGCCCTACGTTTGCCCACGTTTTTGCACGTAGACAGCACGCAGAAGCACGTACGGCGGGTTGTGACCGTCGCTTAAAGTTCTACGGCGTGTCTGCGTGCTCCCGAATCCGTAGGATTCCGTACGGAGGTGGTACTCACCACGCACGGATGCCCTACGTTTGCCCACGTTTTTCCACGTGGACAGCACGCAGAAGCACGTACGGTGGGTTGTGACCAAGGCTTTAGATTCATACTTGCCCTGTCAACGACCGCTACGGTGTATGTACATGAAAGTACTTCTATGAGCTGGTTGTGGAGGAATTTGAACACATAGAAGACTCAAAAAGTACAGGTCATCTTCTCAACATTACACCGGGATCTTTTAAGTTACACTTCTTAAATAAAATTATTTTACTTACATAATTAAAATACAGAAAGGGCAATTTCATATTGATTAAATAAGTGTGGCGTCAGGTTCACAATTTGCCCTCTCAACGACCGATAGGTTCACTTTTTTATTTACAAGGTTAACTGTTAATATATTATTTATTTGGGCATGGTCCGCCTTAGATTCACACTTGCCCTGCCAACGACCGCTAGGGTGTATATACTAGCATGAAAGGACTTTGTAAGGCCACAGCAAGTAATTTTTATGGATGACATCGACGCGCGCATTAATTTTCGCCTGATTTGGGGGGAAAAAAACAAGAAATTTTGTTGCCTTCTGACAATGGTCAATATGCCAAAAGTGGGCAAAGATGTCTGCTGCCATGCCAGTAGGTGGATGGCAGATAACTATGAAGAGAGGAGACGAGAAAAGACTCTGATTTAATGTTTTGCTTCTTACTTTGATGCAGTTATATGTGATGCTGGGTGTGTATATGTGATGTTCCTACTTAATCAAAACCATTTGTACAATGATTGAGTCAAAATTTTAAAATGTAGGAACCTTGTTTTTTCGGCCTGCCTTGTTTTTTTTCGCCCGCTCGCATTTTGGAGTCTGCGGAGGATGTCATCCATAAAATTTATTTGCTGTGGCCTAAGTAAAGAAAGTAATTTGAACACTTACAAGACTCAATAAGTACAGGAAGTCTTCTCAGCATCGGGATCTTGTAATTATATAAGGAAGCTAGACTTGGTTGATCAAATTGGTGTGGCGTTAGAGCAAGGAGATGAAAGCTCCTTGGTTAGAGTCACATTTTGTCCTGTAAACGACCGATAGGTTCAACTAATAATGGTAACATGGCTCAAAATTCATTTCTGGGAATACATGTAGGACTGCACTGGTGCACCCAACTTAAAAAAATTGGGTGTACAATTTTGTGGGGGGTGCACCATATAAAATAGAATATCAGCAAAAGCTAATCATGTTTTTTATAGAAAAATACTACAACAAAGGTTTTCTTATTTTTCTAACACAAGAATGCTGAGTAGTAGTATACATCTTTACATTCGTAAACCTACGAAAATGTTTGGGTGCACTGGTAATGCACGCCGGGCACAGAAAAAAAGTGTGTGCACAGCTCCAAATTTATTGTGCTCTAAGCAGCACCCTGTATTTCGAGCCCTGCTGCATGGTACATGTAAGATATAACAGTCAATGCCAGCATGCCATCCGCAGCATGTGACTATGCAGATTATTATGATACAAAGAAACCGTGTGCTTGTGTACACATGTCAACGACGCACCACCTTGGACGCACTAAGTAAGACGTCGCGTGACTATTATAATACCTCGCCTATTGTCAGGAGACTGGGTCAAGGTTCAACGACCTCCCGGACGTTGCTGGAGAGTAAAAAATAAAAGGACTTGTGGGCTGCTTCTTGAAGTCACTTGGAACACTCGCAGTCACAAGACTGAGCGTCTCTGGGGTACAGGGCGTCTCCTCAACTCAACATCGGGATATTGTAAGTAAGTAAGACTTACATTTTCATACTTTGTTACGCGAAACGTTACCTTTAGTTACGGAAGAGGCACGGGCCTGAGGAATATTTTGAGCCGGGGAGGGCCTCAAAGGGAATTAAACATTGGTGAGCCATGGGAGGGCCTTGGGAAAACACATAATTCGAGCGAGGGGGCCTGGGCCTAGGAATTTTTTTTGACCGGCCTGAGGCCATGTTGATTTGATTATATGGATGACATCCTCCGGGAGCCCCAAAACTGATGCGCGCGTGCGAATAAAAAAAAAGTTTTGCAAAAAAAAGAAATCTACGTGGTCATGAGGGTTGAGCAAATGGCACAGAATATGGTTTGGCGAATAATCTAGTCTTCAAGTTCATTTCTTTACAATTTCGTTTTTTCGTTTGATTTTGGCATTCTACGACATTGGTATAGTTTTTACTAATTTTTTTGTAACTTATGGTATATTTTTGCTCATTTTGCAACTGTTTTGTACGATTTACAGTATGGTTGAAAACTTTTTTTTTCGGAAACAGCCGAAAATTCATGCGCGCGCTGATGTCATCCATATAATCAAATCAACATGGCCTGAGGGAACCTAGGAAAACACTCTTAGGGATTGTACGATATTTACCGGGGAGGGGAGGGGATGGGGGCGGTCGTCCGGGGGTAGCGTAAAAAAAATTTTCCTAGGCCCTCCCCCCAGGTCAAAAAAAATTTCCTAGG